TTTCTATGTGTATACATTTTTGATAAACATATGATGGATCAGAAAAGTCTTCCAATCGGTCCAAAGAAAGTAGACTTTTTTTATCTATATATTTATTTATTTATCTATTATTGTTATTTTTGTTTCTCTCTCCTTTAGAGTAACAATTTGGACCACAATAATTCTGAATCTCGCGGGAGGAGTAGAAGTCAAGTGATATTATTACCAAATAATATCACGTGGTTTTTGTTTATGCTGTTAACTTCCCGTCGATTGTACTCGTATGTATTGTGTATATAAGCTGATATCTCTTCATTACGTTGAGATTTACGCTGATGACTCATTTCTGACGTTTGACTTTTATCATTATTATTCTTATTTATCTATTTTTATTTATTTGTTTATTAATTTTTTTGAGGGGGAGGAGAGCTTACAACTTGCTAATTGTTACAGCAGATAGATTAATGATTAAGATAACTACAACAATAAAAACATTAAGGACAATAATAGTATTGATAATAACAATAAAACAACAATAATGGTAATGAAAGTATTTATTATAACAACAGCATCAACAATATTGATAATAGAATAATAACAATAATATAATTTTAACAACAATAATAATAATAATAATAATAACAACAACAACAGTGATAACTATTATTATTATAATGATGATAATAATGATAATAATGATTATGATAATAATGATAATAATAATGATGATAATAATGATAATAATAATTATGATAATAATGATAATAATAATAATAATAAAATAATGATAATAACAGTAATAATAATAATAATGATAATGATAACAACAACAACAATAATGATAATAATCATATTAATAACGATAACAACAATAATAGTAATTATAATAATAATGATAATAATGATAATAATAACAACAAAAACAACAACAACAACAACAACAATAATAATAATGATGATAACAGATAAAGAAAAAAAATACATTAACATACAATGTTGGCCATCGCCCCCCCCCCCCCCCCCTACCCACAAAAGGCGTTCAATAAATTTCTCTTTTATGATGTTCATTAATTCTGAACATCCGAGAGACGAAGTGTGTCTGACCCTTATCTCGTGTTCAACTCCAGTTATAAATCACAATAGAATGCTAATGGGGAGTGTTATATATCACTTAAAAATATTAATCATTATCATAATAATAAAACTGGGAAAAAATAGCAGCCGTCCACTTATGCTCCAGGGATTCGTTAAATGAGGCAGCTAATGGAGAACTTAAAATGCTTTAGACTACATTACAAAACATGCTAATATATTGCATAACAATGGCAATGTAATTGAAGCATCGGCCAATTAAATTACGTAATCAACGGTAACAATAGCTGATGTGCTAACGTGTCACCAACATGTATTCTACACCTCCTTCCGCCTTAATCGTCTCCTACAGACAACCTTCTCACTCGCAGCCTCTCCTTACCTCAATTCGTTCAATGATTACCCATTTCTGTATGTTCAGAAGTGCCTGTGATTCCGAAAATGCAATTATAGAAACAGTTATGATTGTTTTTGTTTTTTTACTGTGAAATCATTATTTTTTTTTTTTCTCATTCATAAATTTTCTTAATATTTCTCACTAGGATTTTTTTTTTGACTATTTATCGTAATTATTTATGTGTACTAAACTTTTGCGTGTGTGTGCACCGATTTTTCGTCTGTATCATGTTCCTATTCGCCCCTCCCCCTCTTTATTCAACTAGGGTAACTTTGTAATCATTATGACAGTTACAGGAATGTCTATAATCTTATCAAGGCTCTATTGCGCTGTGTCGGACGTAAGGTAATTCTTAATGACTGGTATACTAGTAGCCGTATGGTATAAATCGACTTAATAACCATTATGATAAAATATTAGTGTTGGAAATATTTTTCATAACATTCATTATATATCACTAATAACTGCCCCGATGACAATTATTTCCAAGGTTCGGTTCGTTAACTTAACCAATTGAAATGTACGCGTGATAGCAACTGGGGAAAACACAACACTACCTCGTTAGTACATTAGATGTTCCAGCTTCATGTGACTGTGTATGTGTATATATGTGGTGTGTGTGTGTGTGTGTGTGTGTGTGTGTGTGTGTGTGTGTGTGTGTGCGTGTGTGTGTGTGTGTGTGTGTGTGTGTGTGTGTTTGTGTGTGTGCGTGTGCGTGTGCGTGTGCGTGTGTGTGTGTGTGTGTGTGTGTGTGTGTGTGTGTGTGTGTGTGTGTGTGTGTGTGTGTGTGTGTCTGTGTGTGTGTGTGCGTGTGCGTGTGTGTGTGTGTGAGAATCCTTTGGTGTGTGAATCCGAAATATAGTGGTTTGCTTTAGCTTTTTTCACTTTGTTGTTCGGGTTTACATAACGTTTACAATTCCTATATCAATTTGTTCATCGCGGGATGGCTGATGACAAATAGTCAGGATGGATCCGAGGTGCATATTTGCTTCGATTAAGTAAATAAATGAATATGTAGAAATAACAACGGCTTCAAACCTCGTTTCAATGGGCATGAATAGTGTCCAGTATGGCCGGAAATTTAATGTGATGTAAATGTACATAATGTGGTATGAAAGTAGTCAAACATTGCCCAAAAGAGGCGCTGGCCCGAAATCCTCTCATGCACTAAGTTCACATTTACTTGTATATCCAGGGAAATGAAACGATTTTTACAAACTATCATGGGCTTTAAGGATAAAAAGTTCCGTTTCTTAGAGAGTGCGAGCTTAGAAAAGAAAAGGGAAAAAAGAGAAATCACACTTTTTATAGAAAGAAAAGTTCCATTTCTTTTTTGCTTGTTATTGTTATTACTATTACTACTACTACTACTACAATTATTATTATTATTATCATTATTATTATTATTATCATTATTATTATAATTATTATTATTATTATTATTATCATTATTATTATTATTATTATTATTATTATTATTATTGTATACCCATACATAATACTGAACAAACTCCTCGAAACTATACTGTACATGCTACCGGTATTTAATTTGATTTGACTTCTCATGGCAATAAGAACAACACTCCTTCTCTCAGTTTCAAAAGAAAGGTGGAATCTCATATAAAAGGATTACTAAAGGCTCCTCCCAAATAAAAGACCATGAAATGCCATCACACCTCAACCGAACACTTGCATTTGAGTCGATTTTAGTGGGTCACTTTTCTTGAGTGCCAGGAAGTACCGTATCACGAGGAAATTGCACATATTGTAATCCACATTGGGATTAAAAAGACTGACGGACTTCTGATGGAAAGGTTGATCTTTCCTGAATAGTATTAATAATAGGGATGAAAATACTGATATTAGTAATAATGGTAATAACGATATTAAGGATAATGATGATGATTATAAAAGAAATAATAATAATAACGATAATAATAATAATAATAATAATAATAATAATAATAATAATAA